ATGCACTCGGGGTGGGGAGGAGGGCAGCCAGGCAAAGTGTCACTGACCCCTGAACCCGACTCATCAGACGAGCAGAGGGTTTTGTTCTCAATGGTATTGGAAAGGAAAGTGTGGATGAGGACAGTGGAACTCAGTCCCACAGGTCTTTGCCAGCTAAAATTGCTGGATATCATAATTAAGGTCAATTAACCAGAGAGGATCCAAAGGCCCCTTAGGGCTTTTTGCCTTAAAAAATGGTTCTTTATAAGACTGTAATTCCAAATTACATGCTAATTCTGTTTAGTTTGAAAAATCTAAGCATCTTAAGAAAATATGAAATCTCTTGTGATGTCTCTGTTGACAGTAAAGCACATGTTGATTAACACAATCCCTCCCTGATGGATTTATGCAGAGGTAGGCCATTCATGATAAACTTACTTTGGCCACCAGTAATCCCTAGAGTTAAGCAACAGAAAAGCCAGCGTGCCTCCGTGCAGCTCTCCGTCCTTCAGCTGTGACGTGCTAGGATGGTCCTTGCTCCTCATTTCCCCCATTTTTGTCAGCACAGCACAAGGGCTGGCTGAAAGGGTATCCCTGCTGGGTCAGGCTGTCCCAGAGACAGTGGCTCTCAAGAGTCCTGTCTCCAGCCTTCTCCATCAGACTTCACCTGCCCCATGAGAAAGCCCAGGCCTCCTGGGAGGTGGCACCACACAACACTTCCACGAGGCAGGATGTGCTTTCACCCTGACAAAGGTGGGTTGGTTGTAAGTAGTATAGTAGTCAGGTGTCTCTCTCTATCATCCTGAATGTCACCCTTGCCATTAAAGCTGCTGCTTCTAAGCTTCCCTTACCTTCTTCATGTTTACTTGCCCATTAGAAAATACCAGAGCCCGGGAGCCAGGTTCCTGGAAATTTGACTTTCCTTTGGGGAGGCTTCTCAACTGAATACCAACCTGGCCTCCAGCCTGCCTGAAACTTCTTTACCTGTTCTGTTTCCCTCATAAACTATTCAGTGCCTCAAATGGCAAGTTGACAGCATTTGCCAAAATGGATTTTTATAGACTCTCGTCTCGGGCAGACATAGGATATGGCTCTATATGGCCAGCATTGCAAAGCTCAGGGCTGGACTTGCATTGGCTGGGCTCCTGCCATAGCTGAATATCAAGCTGGTTTTCGTCAATGTTCCAAACTCCTTCGTCACCTAGTCCAACCTAGAAGACAATGAAAAATGACCAAGTCGGAGTGCTCGTGTTTTCTTCAGCTGCATAGGGTTTTGCCTGTGGAGATGAACCCCACAGGAACTGCTGCTATGCTGGCATTTCAAAATTAGACCCACAAAAATGTTTCTCCCAGGGTGATACCAGCTCTGAAGTCCTTGCTGGATGCTGGCAGATGGCGGTGGCTCCTAATGGATTGGTGTGGCTCAGTCTTTCTGGGAGTAAAGGAGAGATGGTGGCAGGCAGGCATTTCTTTGTCCTGGAGTGAAATGGTCAAGCTCTGAAATACACCCTGTTCTTTGAACTCCACGTGAGGTCACCCAGATCGAGGGATCCATTCCTTTTCTCTCCTGAATCTTCCATCTTTAGTCCCCAGCTTGCCCTGGGAATTGTGGGTTTGGCAGTTGTCCTGTGTTTCCAAGTGAGGAGAGTTCTGTTTCACTTTAATTTTGTTTTTCAGGCAAACTTTGTGCCAAACATTTTTTAATTCTAATGAGGAAGATGGCCGAAAACCTTCATGTGTGTGAGAATGTAAGGGTTTCATCCTCATGTCATGTTTCTCCTGTCACATTTAGTACTGGGGTCTTTAGTCCTTCTCTGCCAAGAAAATCAAAACCCTACTAACAAATGCATGTTTTTCACAGTGGGATTAAGCTGTGGGAGGATGGCGGGGGGTGGGGGTAGTTACGTTCCAGTCCCAGATAAAGTCAATTGAGTGATGTTGGTGTGGTTTGGGAGGCGTTTCCCTGTCTCAGATATCATGTGACTTGGTGATAATTAGGCAGAAGCTTGCCTTCCCTGCAGATGCTGGGATTACAGAGGGACTGCCTCTCACCAGAGACCAGATGACAGCATCCACGGATATTTTTAGAATGGGCCTCATCATTTATTTGGTCTCCTCATTTCATTTTCCTTGCATCTACATCCCCATGTCATAGTTATAGTCATTGAGCAGGGAGGAGTAAGGGGATATCATCTACTTCTTCGTGACAGCCACCTGTGAGACAGGGCAGCGATTCCACATGTATTGTTAATTGATACATTGCCTAGTAACTGCAGTGTAACAGCTGTAATTCTGTCAGCTATCTGCTACCTTTTCCTTTCAAAAGTTTTCCTTTATTCAGGTGTTTTTTAAACTGGCAGGGCCTCAGCGCACACACATCAACCTAAAAGGCCCTACTTGAATCCGTGAGAGTGATGTCAGCTTCCTTAAAACCCATGAAACTCTCACCCAGTTGAGTCTCACTGAACTCCCAGCTTGGTGACTAGTTCCATCACTGACTGTGCACTGCCCCACGCCCTTGTGGTCCTTGACTGTGTCCCATAAACATGCCGTGAGCTGCAGAAGAGCCTTAGAAGTCTAAGCAGAGTTGCTGCTTCCTGTAGGATGATTGTTATAACTCAGGTCTTCGTTGTGAGTGGTGATCCTGGTGTGCCTCTTAGAAGGATGACTCTATTTCTGTGTGACATTACCTGGTTCCTTTATGTTTGCACAGTGTTATAGTCCCTTTTCCTTCTATCACAGAGAACAACCAGTGGCCTTTCAGTTGCGTGGAGTGAGAGTTTCTCTGTTAGATGTGTCCTCTATAAGAGCTGCCTCTCTGATAGCTGCCTCCCCTCCTGGCTCGTCCTGCAGACACAGAGCTGGCTCCCTGCAGAGGCCTCCCTGGGAGGGCACTGCCTAGCCCCCTGAGGAAGCCTGTGACATAGCATCACAGGTGGCCTCACCCGTTCTGCAGAAAGAGAAAGTGATGATTAGTGCATCTCCTTTTTAATGATGACACTCCCAGAAGATTCTGGGCCTTTGCTGAGGGAACAGGAATGTATGTGGCCTGGGGATTGTTGTTGGTATGGCTTTGGACTGCCCCCGATGGGCCTCTTGCCCTGGTTTCAGGGCTGATAGGCCTATCCTGATTATAGCAATGTCATGTTGGGGTACCTGGACACCCCCATCTCCTTCCCCCTCACATTGTCTTGCCCCAGCAGCACAGCAAGCTGCATGCTCTGCCTCTGTACTAGGGGAATGAAGTGTCACCTTCCCAGTCCGCATTAGTTTCCGCAGAAGAATAATTAACACCAAAGGGAACTAGGGAGAGGGTCTGAATTAGGTAATACGTTGCCACTTCTCCCTTGGCACTTACAGAAAGTCAGGATTGGGACTTGGGGACCATAGCCCCTGATGACTAACTGCATAGTGATGTTACACTGTGATCTATCAAGTGTTATTATTGAAGGAAAAAACCAAATCTCCTTCAAAGGACCTTATTTGTGAACCCCTATCTGATCATGCCTTGGGGCCCAGGTGAAGGACTTAGAGTAGCACCAGCTCTGTGAGGCCTGAGTCCTCACAGATCTGGGATTTACTTGAGCTTTTTCTCCCCTGAAATTAATAACCTATTATTTTATAGTCTGAAATAAAATAAAGAAACAAAGCGGAGAATATGTTCCAAAAAACCACTGGCCAGGGAAACGAAAGACTAGGGATTCATGGAGAGAAAAAGCCTTTCTTTTCCTGCTTGATTGTCTCTCTCTCCATTGAAACAACCTAACTCCTTCTCTTTGGAGCTATGTCAAAAGTAAGAAAGACCGTAGATACGTAGCATTCTGAATACTAGGTCCTGCTGTCTTTGCAAATGTGGGAATGAAAGGTAAGATTGGCGGCAAGGACAGAGTCATGAAAAGACTGAAGTCACAAGGACACTTGGAAATTCCAAGTGGACGTAGAGTATCTCCTCCTGGTGGAGACACACCTGTACGTAACGTGGGTGCGAGCATCTTCTGGTGTATTTCCATCACTTAGTCACATGGTCTGAGTTTATGGTGCTTCACTACTACTTTTCTATCCAGTTCTTGGTCTTGAGCTTTTTCTCGTTTACCACCATGACAGCCAATACTGTCTCTGTAAACAAAAGATCTTTTGTCTTGAGTCTGTCACATCAGTTTATTTAACTATAGCCTAGTAGTGAGTATTCTCCCTTTTTCTTTCTTTTTTTTTTTGTTTTGTTTACCTTTTCTGGGCTCAGTGGTCACAAGAAATCTGATAGACTTTTCTAAATTCAGGTGCTCTGGGAGGACCTTCACCATGCCTTTCCTTTGAAGACTGTTAGAGACAAAATAATAATAATAATGTTGTTATTTGTTAAACAGATGTTTGTGGGAGATTTGTTTGGCTCTATGTGTATTATATAATTATGTTTATTTTGTTATATAGTTTTTTTAATGTAAAAATCTAAGATAGCCTACTGAGAGGTGACTTGCTATTCTTATGGTGGGGAAGTCAAAACTACCCACACCCTGTAGTGCAGACGTACTAAGCCTTTGTAGAATGTAGTCGTGTCATCAGGGTGTTAAGGGAAAACGCGTCCAGCAAGTTCATTTGGGCTGCCTGGCTGGTGGGGAAGAACCAGAGAAGCTTAGCTGGTTTACTTTGGGTATGAAAGTTCCATGTCCCTGGGAAACCCCTCAGTCCAAAAATCCAGAACCAAACCTCATTTGCACCCTGGACATCCCTAACTTAACAGAGCTAAAACACCTCTAATGTGCTCTTTGTTAGCTTCCCAAAGTTAATGACTCCCATTTCCTTTGAGCCTTTCAACTTTGGAGCACTTTATAATTAGGACAAAATAAGAAATAAGGTAAGTCATCTTCCTGCTTAATCCTTAGATTTTTCAGACCTTTGAAATGCTTTCCTGGTGTGCCCTGGGTGGGGCGAGGAGACAGGAGGCTGATGAGGCCGCCTCCTGGGTGCCCACTTGTGCTATTTGAAGTCCTTAATGATGTGTGATCTTCTTTCTCCTCTTTTAGACCCTCAAACTGACACAAGACCTACAGAGAAAACCCTTTGCCAAATCTGCTCTCAGCAAGTGGACAGTGATACCGTTTACAGCTTAACACCTTTGTGAATCCCGCGCCATTTTCCTAACCCAGCAGAGACTGTTAATGGCCCCTTACCCGGGTGAAGTACTTACCCTTGGAACTGAACTCTATAAAGTATGCAAAATCTTCCTCATATGGGGTGGCGAGCCCACCTGCCAGCAGAGGACAGCCCTGTCAGCACCCAATCTCCTTCAGAGCACACCGTGAGCCCCACTGGCAATTCTGTGGTGTTTTGATATTGCGATGGTTTATGGGATGTTTTCAGTGTCATTTTGTGTTTGTTTTCCTTTGACCTTCTGAGTTTTTCACATGCATTAACTTGCAGTATTTTTCTGTTCAAATGTTCACCGTCCTTCCCCTGGCAAATTTTAAAACAGAAGGAAAATGTTGTACCAGTTACCATTCTGGCTTCGGGCGTCACAAGCCCCCGAGCCCGTGGAACTCCATAAACTAACACATTACATAAACTAGAGGGGGATTTTCTTTCTTCTTTTGTTTGGTAGAAAATTACCCTTTTCTAAAAACTGAACAATGGCACAATTGTTCGCTGTGCGCGCCTGTCCAGGACTGAGCACGCACAGGCGAGCCGAGTGGAGCGCGCGTCTGACCCAGTGTGTTTCCAGGTCTGAGTCAGGGTGGTCTGTGGACGAGACCCCCAGTGCCTGCTCTGCAGCTGCAGGTCAGTAGGGCCTGTGGTCTCCTCAGCTAATGCAGTGGACAGCGTTGGCCTCTCCGTTAGAAACTAGATCTTTTCAGGAAAGAAGTCAGCTCAGCTGTCCACTCATTGCCAAAAGCCACTAAAGGATTTAGTTTAAGGAGAAAAGTGTCCTGTTTTGTTTTGCAGAAGAAATGAACTTGAAGGTGAGCATGAAGCTTGCAGTGAGAAATGTGTGAAGAGGACAAACCAAGTGAATGCTAAGGCAGGTCTAACTTCACTGTTTTTAAAGTACACATCCTTGATTATTTTCAGCCTTGCTGTGTATAATCTGATCTTCTAGAAGTGTATGAGTGAAAGGCAATAGCCTACAAACTGATTTTTTTATATAAGTTAGGTTATAATTGTTCGAGTGACACATGAAAGTACAAGATAGGGCAGTTTTGATTTTCCTTTTTTCTTTCTTTTTTAAAAAACTTTCCTGCTTCTGTGGGTTTCAATTTGTTTTGTTTTCAAAAAGTTATGGTGCTGTATAGGTGCTTTCTGTTTAACCTAGAAAGTGTGATATATTCATTGCCCCCTTTGGTAGACAGAAGAGTTGGGAACACATTTGGTACCTATGAAACTGGTGTGACGACGCTCTGATTAGCACAGCATATACATACTTCTCCAAAGTGATATATGAAGACTTTTCTTTGCATAAAAAGCATTAGGCAAATAAATGTATAAATATATTTTATCATGTACAGTACAAAAGTGGAACCTTGTGCATGGGCGTTAGGAATACAGGCTAGTATTTCAGCACAGACTTCCCTGCTTGATTTCCCCTCGATGCTTGCACCGTGGCAGTGAGCACCAACACAGACATGCCACCCGATCCCCGCACCCACCACCACCAGGGACCCTTTGTGCACCTTTGCTTTGTAACCCCTCTGGGGCGGGGGGCATATGGGTGGTAAGCACAGCTCCTAGCATAATGAGAGTTCCATTTGGTATTGTCACACGTCTCTCCTGCCTCGCTTGGATTGTCACGTTTGAGCGATGGCCCTGTCAATTTCACCCTGCCTTTTACTAAATCTGTAAATTGTCGTGCAATTGTGGTTATGGTAGACCTATAGCATATTGCCTTTTCTGAACTGCTACATGTTTATAATCTTCATTTTAAAAGTATGTATGATTTTTTAAAATATGTATTCTATTCACGTGGTCTGCTTGTCAGTGAGCCGGACTTGCCTACTATATTCCTTTATGATAACGCTAGCTACTTCCTTGGTTCTTTACTTGTCTGATGTACGCGAGAACTGTCCAGTGTCAGCAAAGGAGGGCTGCCTCTCTGGCTCCCTAGGTGATGGTGCCAGGGTGGGGGGCCACTGCAGAGGCAGTGGCAGCAGCTGGGAGGGAAGCAGGGGAAGGGGTGTGGAGAGAGGTCAGACATGAGGGAGGATCCCAAGTGCTTCCAACAGGAGGGCCTGAGAATTTCTCTCCTGAGCTCAAAGAAACAAGCAAACTAACTCACAACTTAGGTACTTGCCTGTGCAGCTTTACGGACCCAGGGAGCTGCTCCCGGAGCAAGAAAGGCAACTCTCCAGTGTGTTCCAGCTTGGAAATGTTGAAGTCCTTTCAGACATTTGGCTTCTCACTGATTCTCTGCTTTTCCAATGTTTGTTGGATTTCAGGCACAATGTCCTACCATATGTCCTAGAACCCGATTATAACACAATGTGAAACAGCTGAGGGAGGGACAGAGGGGCATGAGGGACAGGGCAGCCACAGAATAGATCAGGAAAATGGAGGGGGGAATGCTTTGATTTTGTTTTGTTTTGTTTTTTTTAATAATTCAATCAGCATCTACACATAGAGTGTTGTGGAGAGCTGAGACCAGAGCCTGGTCAAAGGTAGCATCAGCACCATGAGCCTACCAGGCCCAGGAGAGGTTCGTCCAGACTCCCTGCACCGCCCTCTGAGCTCAGTCCAAGGCCCCTTAGACTAGGCAGAGGTGTGGCCGTAACCCTCTGTCCTTTATATCAAGACCCTGCTTTCAGGATGGGTCAACATTGCATTTTGAGTGTCTTGTATCCCTAACAACGAATGTTCTGATCTGGAGCACCTCACCGGATTACTTAGCAGCCTGGGCTAGGGGCTGTAATGTTTGAGTCCTGAGAAGAGCCGTGCGGCTCGGCTCTCAGCCTCCCAGTGAGCTGCCTGCCTTGTGATGGGAAGTTAGCAAGCAGTGAACCTAGTGTTGACATGCACCCTGGGGTTCCCAGGTTCTCCTCGGGCTCCAGACCTTGATACCTGTACCAAAGCCAGAAAAGAGCTTTATCACAAGCCTTCGCTGACCCGGCATGAGGACTGACCGTCGGGCTCAGCACACCCCATTAACTGTGAATGCCCCTGAGGCTGGTTTCCTTTATTGAATCCTCTGCAACATAATGAATGGTGAACACATTCAAAAACTTTTTTTCAGGCATCTGTCTCTCCTGTTACTAGGAGGACCATGCACACACGTGTACTACGAGGTGGATTTTGTTTTCAATGTTGATTTTTAGCATCATGTATGTCCCTTCCCCGCCCTGAAGAGAGGACATTGTAGCTCACTACTCAGGACAGGTTTGCCCCATCTCAGGGTGTGACTTCAGGTGGCTTCCAAACTTGTACTCAGTTTAAGGATCTTAGGGACAGACTTTGCCTCTACCTAATGAACTCCATCCATTTAGAGAATAAAGAACATTTGATTCTCTTGGAAAAGACCATCAAGAATAAAGCGGTCAAAAAGCAAGTCCTCTTATCCACGTGTTGGCACCAAGGGCTGATGAGAGGAAATAAAAATGTTACCCTTTCTTCCTCTCTAAAATCAAAAAGAAAATTGAGAGCCCTGAACTCTGATTTTTCTTTTTTCGTGCTGTATTTGGGGAACATCATATAATGAGATGTAATGTGATTTTTTTTAATTAAGAAAAGCAAATTCTTCTGTAGAAATGCAATCACTGGTAAAGAGGTATGAAAAAGTAGCCCCTTCCGGAGCCCAGCAGAGGCAGGGCAGGAGGGGAGAGTAAAATTCTTATGGAGTCGTGTCCATCAGACAGGATCTTAAAGGCCCAAGTAACCGAAAAGAGTGTGTGATATTTGATCAAATTCCTAAGTGGGTAACATATTTTGTAGGTTGAAATATTTTCCTCTTGTTTAATTTTATTCTTCTGTGTTTTTCTTTGATGAATAAATGATTGCGAGGCCTCTGCCACACTCCAGAAATACTTGTGTGACTGCTTTTTAAAAGAAGAAGAAGAAGAAAAAATAAACAAAAAACTGTGTGTCTGATCACTTTTTTCTCTAAAATTATCTCATTGCCTGGCAATCAGTCTTCTCTTGTATACTTGTCCTAGCACATTATGTATGTGGGAAATGTAAACAGATGTGAAGGAGGACCAGAAAAATTAGTGAATATTAAAAAAAAATGTATTGTGCATTTTGGCTTCACATGTTTAACTTTTTTTTAAGAAAAAAAAGTTGCATGAATGGAAAAAAAATCTGTATACAGTATCTGTAAAACTGTCTTTATCTGTTTCAATTTCTTGCTCATACCCTATACAAACTAGAGTTAAATATGGTGCATGGCCATATTCAAACACCTAAGAATCGAGTAGTTCATCCTTTGGTTCGAAGCACCTCATCGTTTCTTTCAAAGCGAACACTATCACATCGCATTTTTATGAGGATTTTGTCTAACTGTGTTGCCATGAATTAACTCTGCAGCCTTTCTTCTCAAGGATCAAAACCAGTTTGATTTGGGAATCTTCCCCTTTCCAAACGAAATGGAGATGCAGTACTTACTTTCCTTGGTGTTTGTAGATATTGCCTTGTGTATTCCATTTAAAACTGTAATCTAGTTTGTAAAAGAGATGGTGACGCATGTAAATAAAGCATCGATGACACTCTTGTCTTACTCCAAGAAGTCTTTTTACCTAACCCTAGGAATGCAGTGCTCGAGTTTATCTCGAGGTCTTCCGTGGGATTGCCTCTCAGACTACAACGGTACAGTGCTGAGACTCTCGTGTAATCTATAAGTGAACCCAGCAACCTTTTTGTCTGGCCCACTTTTTTTTTTTTTTTTTTGTCAGGGAATTTAACCCCGGTGCTTTTTCACCGAGGCAAAAACCCCCCTGTTTTTGAAAAAAAAAAAAAAAAAATTTTTTTTTTTTTTTTAATTCGAGACAGGGTCTTGCTAAGTTGCTTCGGGCCTCACTAAGTTGCTGAGACTCATCTAGAACTTGTGATCCTCCTGCCTCAGTCTTCCAAGTCACTAGGATTACAGGCATTGACCCCTGTGTCTAGCTTCTGGCCCACTTTTGACCTCCACAGACAGCCAGACAATTTAATAAATTCGGATTTATGAAGTTCATGTTTGCCAGGGGTCTCTCTTGGTGTGTATTGAGTCCTATGGCCCCAAAGAGGCAGGAATTAGATTCCACCTTCATGACTGCCAGAGGTTTTAACCTGCAAGTGATCTGAGCCTAATGAGGTCCTCCTCATGTGAGTCCAGCAAATGAGTGTCAGTCATGTGCAGGGCCCTCCTACACGTTGAAAGGCAAACAGTGCTTCAGCCTTCTGAGGGCAACAGCGTACATTTTTCCTTTGTGTGTACTTTAGTGCCTCCTTGTTAGGAGGGACACCGCCCTGTTGTAAAACTATTCTTAGTAGCCTTGATTGTGCTTCTTAATAGACGGGTTGTAAAAATTATTGCACTTACAGTAACCCCCAGAATTCTGGTTTAAAGGTCCCAAGCAACACGATGGGCTTTACATCAGAGAGCTGAGAGGGCTTTAAAGTTGGCTCTTTGGGATGGGTTCTGTTTTGGTGGAGATTCATGCTTTTGTCGGGTTTTCCTTGCCTTTTCTTTTAATTAATAAAAAGGTAAAACTTCACCATCTTCTGATACCAATGCCTGCTAGGAAAGGGTATTTTAATGTGAGATTGCTATTCTGTCTCTCAAAAGAGTAAAGATGGACATCTACTGTCACTTGTCCTAAGGGTCTTAGAGTTTGCCAAAGCCATGTAAAAATGCAACCAAAACTTGCTAGAGTTAACTCTGATCAGCAGAGTTAAGTCAGTGTCAGATGCAGTGATGGTCTGACCCGTAATGGCACCAAGAGAACCCTGACCCAGGCCTGCCCTCTGCCAGATGATGGAATAAAGAACCAAATCTCACTGAGTGTCCCTGCTTCAGCATCTTGTTAAAACAGGAAAATTTGGACTGATGTCTAAAATACCTTAGGAGTTTGATTTTGCAAACATCAAATAGTAGGGGTGAAGCTCGCAGCCAGCAAAGGCTTCTTTGACAAACCAATCGAGTCAGCACACCACAACCACAACACAGGTCCAAAGGTGGAGGGAAGCGGGATTCATAGCCAAGATCCACCAGATGCTGCATACACACAACCACTACCCCATGGTAAGGAGAAGGAGGAAGATGGACACGGTCGGGCAGGAAGCACTTTTTGGTTCCCTTCGTGCTTCTCAATTGGATGGTGGAAATGGGCAGGGAGTGTATTATAGGTGTGGGTCTCAAGAGGGAAACACTCAGAAAAAGGACCCGGTTCAGCTCTGCTTTCATCTCTGTTGAAGACAACAACGGAAGTGGCTTGGAGGGCCCCATAGGCAGGGCTGGAGGGAGAAGAATACTTTCTCCTGGATGGTGGGGTGCATCTTTAATCCCAACAACTTGGGAGGCTAAGGCAGGAGGATCTCAAGTTCAAGGCCAGCCTCAGCAACTTGGTGAGATCCTGTCTTAAATAAAAAGGCTGGGGATGTGGTTCGGTGGTTAAGCACCCCTAGGTTCTATCCCCAATACCTAAAAAGAAAAGAAAAAAGGCCCTAGGGTGCACTGTAAGAGGTAGATTCTAGAAAGATGTTGGGGAAATGAGAAGCCATGGTAATTCATGAACTGTCTTCACAACAAGGCAAGAAACTGATGATGTTTATATGGCCCACGGAAAGCTGCTGCTGAGGTTCCAGGTGATTGGCCCACAGCCCTCAGTCACAGGCCCTGTAGAGAGCCACAAAGACTGAGCTGTCAGCAGCTCAACCCCTGTGACTTTCCAACCAAGTCGAGAGGCTGTGATCTAGAAGTCACTGAAAACTTGGTGATGGGTAAACGGCGGGGAGGGAGGCAAGGGAGCTTGGCTTTCAGCTCTTAACATTGTGTATTATTTTAACTTATCAAAATGGAGTGTGCTAATTTTATAAAGATAAATATAGCTTCAAAAGAGCAGAGGTGGACCAGCTTTGACTCCTATTCTGAGACGGGATGGAATAAGGAATAAGGTGGGAGAAGGATATTGAGGATATTGAGAACGGAAGATAATGAGATAACTATACTGTAACAGGAATCTGACTAATAAATGAATAGCAAAATTGTGAATTTGTGTCTTCATAACTTCTTCCTGTTAACATCTTGTAGGAGGTACCTAACCAGAACAAAGGACTATTATACATCCACTAAAACATTAATTATGAAAACTATTTATATATATATATATATCATACTAAATGTAATTACCTAAATGTTTATAACTATGTACTTATTGATATAAAGAATACAATTAGAATCAACCATTGCGAAACTATGGCTGGAGAGAAATACTCAAAGGCAAATATAAAAATCAAAATAATCCTTGTGTCCTGGACACTCTGGGCCTCACCACAGGACTCAGGCCCTGGCTGTGGCTACCAGAGTCAGAGAAATCTGAGCTACCTGCTGCTTGAGCCCCAGTCAGAAGGACCAGGGACCAGAAAATGCTAGCCCTCCCAGCAAGGGAGAAGAGATTCTTCCTCCCCACGGTAAGTACCTGATGAGCAACTCCCACAAGTAGGAAGTAGGCGTTCATGTGAGGACATGTCTCCAAAACACAAACGTCCATTAGGGAAATTGAGTTATGGAATTTTTTTGTCAAAATTGTCTTCATTTCTTTGTACTGTATCTTTAAATTAATATGTTGAAAGATAATGCATTCAGATGACTCAAAAGCCAGAAAGCATTAAAAGATATAGGGACTATCTTCCCCAAATCCTTGACTCTACCTGCCTAATTCTTTCCATGCCAAAGTTTCTTATGTGGATAAAAGAAACTTTGTATCTCAGAACTTCTTGTGTTCCTTTAAATAATAAAAACACTGATTCCTACTTTCCCCTTTTTATTTTACAAAAAAAAAAAAAATGTACTATTGGCCATCTTGTTTTCTGAATTTTTTTTTTTAACCTACCCATGAAGGAAATAGTACAAAGCTTCCTGGCATTTTTTCTGTAGTTATGAAGAATTCCGCTGTATTGATGCACCATAACTGAATTAACTAGGAGATCCCTATTGGTGGACACTAGACATTAAATTGTTTCCAAGCATTTATTATTGGCAACACTGCAACAAGTATCCTTATATTATTTCATATATGTGCAGGAATCTTTGTAGGATTAACGCCCAAACATGGAATTGCTGGTCAAAGGATATACAATTAGTGATTTTTGACAGAAGTTGACCAAATTGCTCTTCAATGTATCAATTCACACCGCCAACAAGGTGTGTGAATCCCTGCTTTCTTAGTCTCATACTTGTAATATTTTTAAAAGAAAATCGCAGCTGAGCATGGTGACACCATGCCTGTCATCCCAGTGGCTTAGGAGGCTGAGGCAGGAGGATCACAAGTTCAAAGCCAGCCTCAGCTGGCTTTGTGAGGCCCTAAGCAACTCAGCAAGACCCTGTCTCTATATAAAATATAAAAAGGGCTAGAGATGTGGCTCAGTGTTTAAGCACCCTTTGGGTTTAAGCCCTGGTACCAAAAAAATAAAAATTGCAAATCTTTATTTCCCTTGCTCTCTAAGTCCATACCTAAGGAAAGGGAGGCCTGCACCAGGAGGTGAGGCTGGGTGGAGAGTGGGAGGGAAACTTAGGAGGTGGTGTCAGGGTGACATGATGACTGCTAGGGACGGGAAGCAGCTCTGAGCACTCAGGTGATTTCTGCACGTTGAAGAGTCATGCTGCCAACCTGTCCATCCAGTCTGGCCTCAGCCTCCTCCCCTCACGCCACCAGCTTGGACCGCCTTGCCTGGGGTCAGCAGCCTGACCTTCCAGCTGAGCTCCCTCACCTCCCAGAATTCCAAAGGGGAGCTGTCACCCCAAAGGAAACAAGTCTGGTCTCCTTGGCCCCAAACCACACACCCAGGCCTATTCATAGTGAGATTGCACAACCATCTGGAGGACAGCCCAGCTGGGCATGGGACAGCAGTGCTGGACCAGGCCCTAGGCCAGGGTGCTCTGGACAAGCCTGCCAGCCTTCAAAGCAGAGCTGTCCCCAAAGCTCTGGGGTCTCACTGACACCTCCCAAGGAGGGAAATGGCTCCTCCAAAGGAGAAGCTCTACAACTAATAGCCTCCCACTGCCCTACTGTGCAGGGTGGCACTGCAGAGAGGGGATCCTCTGTTCCTGCACACAGAAGCCAGGAGGCAGGTGCTGACAACAGAGGAAGCTTATATGTGGGGAGCCGGTGTCAAGGGGCCGGGAGGGAAACAGCCTTCAAATGGGTCTACCTCGACTGGCACCCAGCCCTATAGGTCACCAGCCCGACAGTGATAAATAAGTCAATTACTTCTCTGAGCCTCAGTCTTGCTGGTGTTGCAATGGAGTCAAGGCTGCCTGTCTTGCAAGGTCATGCAGACACCCTGAGAATGTGCCCGGAAGTCTCTGAGCCACACTTCAAGCAATTCCAGAGCAAGCCCTTCATACAATCCTCATCACCATTGACCATCTCATTGGCCCCCACTCCAGGGGCAACTGGGGGTTTTACCATATAGGAACATAATCTAGCGAACCCATCAGTATAACTAGATTATGAAGTAGTCAAGTACAAAAACTACCCAGGCCTTAATGTTTGTCAGCCTTGCTTTCTTTGATGC